TCAATAAGAACAAAGAGTAAGGCACTTCTCTCTTAGATCCCCATTTAAGAACACCATGGCCACTGCCTCCACCACCCCTCTCAAGCTCGGGTGGCTGCACCTTTGGGCCCCTGCAGACACCTCCACTCCACACCAGGAGTTTCCTGGTGGGCAATACCCCCCCTCCCACTCTCCAGGACTGACTCTCCGGGGCTGGAGGTCAGGGAGTGGTGAATGAGTCACTGGTAGGACTAGAGGGAAGAGAAGACAAGCCTCCCAGACTGTGGCCAGTGTCACATGCTCTCCAATGCATGCCTTGCAAGCCCCACGCCTCCCCGCACAGCGTGCAGCTGGGACAGCTGAGCCTTGGGTCATTCTTGCAGTTTGATCTGGAAGGGTTCCTGGTACAAGTCTGGCCTTGGCCCACAGAAGAGCTGGAATCATAGGCCTGCCACCTCAGGGTGGGGTGCAGCCAGCCTGCCCCTCCTCTGCTGGTGCCCCCTTCCACACCCACCCCCTCGCCTGAGAGCAGAGTGTACACAAGCCCAGCCTGGCAGTACTGAGGCAGCGTCTGCCACTCACAGTTTCCACCCCACCTCCGCCCCAAGCTTCACTTCCCATCCCTATGCACGGAGGAGGTTCATCCCATCCGCTCAGACACCCGGGTGGCCAGCGGGACAGGGGTCACTCTCACAGATGAGGAAACTGACAAGCTCAGCAGGAGCCAGTGCCTTGCTGGAGGCCTGGACGCACACTCTGGCGAGATGGGTCCCAGGTGTGGCCGGGCCTCACCCTTTCAGAATGGCTGCACACATGTGCACTAGCTCTCATTCAACCACAACTGCTGCATGTTCTTCGGGGGCCGAGGACAGACACGGTCTGCTCTCCCATTCTGGGGGGGGGGGGAGAGACCACTCACGCAAAAACAAACATGGCATGTAACATCAGATGGCCATATGTACCATGGAGAAAACAAGCCGGCCCCCGGAACTGGGGTGGTGGGAACACTATGTGAGATGGGAGCCAGGGAAGGACTCTCTATGCTCTGGGAGGCCTGGGACCCTCCCTCACAATCTCCCTCCTCCATAGCACCTCACCTCCAGAAAGCCCCAACTTTGGCAGGGCTTGATGGGGCTCCCACCCTCAGGCAGACACCTCCAGGACTCCCTCCCAGTGAGGCCACCACTCTAGTCCCCGTCCCAGTCCTCCTCTACCCCAGCCAGAGGCTGCCAGGGGCCAGAGCTTCTCCTGCCAGGGCAGGGCTCTGCTGAGCAGGCACCCTGTGTTGGGCCCTGATTCCTCTAGGCTGCTTCCCCCAGCCCAGGGGTGCTCTGCACCTCCTGGCCCAGGCAACTTCTCCATCTAGGATGGAAGAACAGCTTCTGAATGACCTCTCTCCCAGTTCAGGCCCGCCAGCTCCTCCGTCCCCCTTGGCCTTGGAATCGTGTCAGCACAGTAGGCCCCAGAATTACTCCTCCATCACCCTTCCCACTAGGTCCACAGCGCATATGACACCCTCTGTGCTTTCTCATAGCTTACAGATCAACTCCAAGAAATCCCCCGCCCCCTCTTCCAAGACCAACCCACTCCTCCCTGCAGTGCCCAGCGAAGACCCTTTGACCTCTCAGCTAGGTAGCCCCTTGGCCCAACTTTCCTCTTCTAAAGCCTGGCAAGCCTCCACCTCCCTCAGTCCCAGGTCAGTCAACAACACCACTGTCCCCCACAAGCACAGAAGCCAGCCACCGGCTCCTCAGCTTTGATAGACCCTCCAATGTCCTGTCCCGTAAATCCCATTGTCAATGACTCCCTTCCATGCCTGGGGCCCAAGATCATCCAACTCCTTTACTGCCAGACCAACTCCTTAACCCCTCTCCTCAGTCGAGACAAACCAACTCTACCAGTCCATACACTGACCCATTTCTCCATGTCATCACCTCCCACCCAAGACCCACTGACTCCTCCAAAGTGTGCGTCCGGACCAGTCCCTGCAGGCTCCCTCTAAACTTCCAGGAACCAGACTCCTCCGGCCTGCAAGGCATCCTCACCGCTTACTTAGCACAGACCAATCGGCAACCAGACTCCCGCGGACTTGTCTTGACATTCTTCCTTCCCTCAAACTCCTTCACTGCCTCTCCAAGACTGCCCGCCAAAACAAACAAAAACACACAAACAGCCCCGGCCAGTTTGGCTCAGTGGATAGAGCTTCGGCTTCGAACTGAAAGGTCCCAAGTTCGATTCTGGTCAAGTGCACATGCCCCGGTTGTGGGCATGATCCCCAGTGGCGGACATGCAGGAGGCAGCCGATCCATGATTCTCTCTCATCATAGATGTTTCTATCTCTCTCTCCCTCTTCCTTCCTCTCTGAAATCAATAAAAATATATTTAAAAAACAACAACACACAAACAAACAAGCAAAAATGATTCTGCCTGGGGAACAGCAGGAACGTACAAGGACTATCTTATTTAATCTTATTTAATCCTCCCAACTACCTCCTGGTAGCAATTAGCGCCATTTGCCGAGGGAAACAGGAGGCTCAGAGAAGAATGGCTTACTCAAAGCCAGACAGACAGCTGGTTGGTTACCCACAGCTGCTCCTCTTCTGAGAACCTGCAGATCAGAAATTTTACCCCACCCTGTGCCAAACCCTCTAACTGCCCCCCACGACCCTCTAGCTCACAAACTGACCACCTTCCCCCAGGCCCAGTGAGTCCCATCTCTGCCCCTCTCCTGGAAGCTTGCGAAGCAGACACATCCAGGCCCCAACCCTGTGAACCAACTCCTCTAGACTGACTCTTAAAATGACCAATGTCAACTAACGTCACCCCTAAAATGACCAATAACAACTGCAACTTCATGAAGGCTCACTTTGGCCAATAACTTTTCACACACAATCTGATTTATTCCTCTCTTAAACCCTGTGGCATGGTGGTGGTTGTTTTTAATATATTTTTATTGACTTCCAAAAGAGTGTCGAAAGGGAGAGAGCAACATTGATGAGAGAATCATTGATTGGCTGCCTCCAGCACGTCCCTGACTGGGGATCAAGATCGCAACTAGGGCATGTGCCCTGACCACGAATCGAACCATGATCTCCTGGTTCACAGGTCAAAGCCACACCAGCCGGGAAGGCATGGGTATTATCACCCGCTTTACAGATGAGGAGACTGGAGCTCAGAGGAATTAGGTTACCAGTCTGAGGCCACGAAGTGGGTAAATGGAGTCAGGACTTGAACTGGAGCCTCTGCTCTTCACCACCCAGCTGTCTCCCCCGGTCTTCCCCCTGCCTGCTCTGAGCTCTCTGCACTGAATGCCATGCTACAGCCAGGCCCGCTCTCACTCTTCCCTTCCTCAGCCCCAGCCCCAGCCCCCCAAGTTCTCCAACCCAAAAGTGACCACCTATCCCTAGGGCCTAGAGCCCAAGAACTTGGCTGGCTTCCAATGTCAAGAATCTCAAATTATGCCCTACCCAGCTTGGCTCAGTGGATAGAGCGTCGGCCTGCAGACTGAAGGGTCCCGGGTTCAATTTCAGACAAGGGCACAAGCCCAGGTTGCAGGCTTGATCCCCAGTAGGGGGCGTGGAGGAGGCAGCTGATCGATGTTTCTCTCTCATCTGTGTTTCTAACTCTCTATCCCTCACCCTTCCTCTCTGTAAAAAAAATAAATAAAACATATTTTTAAAAATATAATAAAATAAATAAATAAGTAAATAAGAATCTTAAATTAACCCCCGCCGGTCTCTTTAGCAGTAACTAGTCACGCTGGCATTGATGGTGGACGCCCTGTGTGTTCAGTTTCCAGTTACCATGTTTCTCACTCTCACACCAAAGGCACCAAGTCCTCCTTTGCCACCGACCAGCAGCAGTCCCTCCTCTTTCCCGGGGGCCAGCAGACCAGCTTCTACCCAGCCAGGGCCAGCCTGCTCCCTCTCCCTGTGGGCTCTCCACCCCAGCACAGGAACGGACTCACCCTCACGGCTGCCGTCCATCACAGGAGAGGCTGTCCACCTTCCCAGCCCGCGGGTAAAGCACTCCTCCAGCTAGCTGCCCTCTCAGCTCCAACGCTGACTTGGCCGCCTCCAGGGACCTACAGTCCACAGACTTGCTTCCTCCCCCAACACCTCACCCACCCACTTCTCCCATGTTCTCACCTTCTACCGACCAGCACCTCCAATTCCCCAATTCTTTCTCGGGTGGGGAAAAAAAAAAAAAGAAAGAGCCTTCTCTATCCAGGCCCCAAAGTCCCTCTGCTCCTGAACAACTACCAACTACAGTGGGGCCTTGACTTACGAGTGTCCCGACTAACGAGTTTTTTGAGATGCCAGCTGTCTCTCGGCTGATTTTTTGCATTGAGTTGATAGTAATTTGAGTTAACAAGCTCCTTAACGAGCTCGGTCTCGGAACGAATTAAACTCGTAAGTCAAGGCCCCACTGTATTGCTTCCAAGCACGGAGTGACTTTCCTCCTTCTTCACGCCAAGAGCTAACACCTGACTCTCTCACCCCCAATGGACCACCATTCTGCTCCTTTTCTGCGAGTTTACCTTGACTCCCGCTCCCCGACCCCAGGATTTACCGCCTCCGCTGCAGCCACAGTCCAGGTTTAGTCCCTGCCTTCCCTGCAGGCTTCAGACCAGGAAATGGAACCGCTTTCATCCCGTGGGCCCAGCAGACTTCTCCAACTGCGCTTCCAGCGCCCGTGCTGGCCTCCTCCTCCCCGGCTAGCTCCCTCGATCCTGCTCCGGGGGAACTATGAGCTCAAAGGCTAAGTCCTCCCGATCTCCCAGGCCACCAAACTTTCTTTTAATGGCTCATCGTTTTAATTCCTAAAACCATCGGGCGGAGGTGGGGGTGAGCATAAACGGGCTACGTCTCACCTTCCCGACCCAGCAGCCATCCCATCTCTACAGACGACTGCCGCCTGAAGTCATCATTAGGTGCAATTCACTGAGCGGCACCTGCGTGCTGGGCGTCGCACCGGCTCCCGAGGCCCCGCGCCCGCCCCCTCTCCTCGGTTATGGTTACCGTGTCTCCAGGGGTCTTTGGGCTCCACGGCTCCGGACACAATATCCTCGTCGGAGGGGAACGTGACGCGCTTGGCCGCAGCCTTGAGGCGCCCGTCGGTCGGGGACGATGCGGGGCTGGGAGACTGGGCCTCGGCGGGGGCCTCTTCGGCGTCGCCGTCCGCGCCCGGCCCGGGCGGCGCCTCCTGCGGCGGGTTCTCCATCGCCGCCGCCGCCGCCTCCTCACGGGGGCCCCGGGGACATGCCCCGGGCCCCGGACTTGTCTCTCCGGGCCCGCCCGCCGTCTCGGGGCATGGGCTCCGCCGCTCTTTCAGGCGCCGCCTCCGTCCGCTTTCCTGGTCGTCGTCGTCGTCGCCGCCGCCACCGGGAGCCCGAGCGCGCCTCCCCCGAGCTCCGCGTCCGCCTGCTTGTTCGCAGCCGCACTTTCGCTAAAGGCCGGGTGAGCCCACCGCGTACTAAGAAAAGCAGAAAATCTATCTGAGCTGTCCGCAAGCAGAGTCGCCTCGCGGGGTGCTGAGGTGGGAGAACAAAAGGCAGCTGGAGCCACGGGAGAAAGAGACGTGAGCGCGGAATCCGCAGAGCCGGAACTGCAGAGCACGGCGGGCGGGGCGAGGCGGACGCCGTCTCCCGGAGCAGCGCGCACGCGCGAACCCGAGCCGCCCGCCCCCCGCCTTCCCGCCTCCGTCCCGAGAGCTGTGGGTCGGGCTCGCGCACTTTCGTCACTAGCTCAGACACTGCATAAGGGAGGGGAGTCGATGAAGATAAAAAAGCATCTGCTTGCCCGGGCGAGGCCAGCTGAGGAGGAGAGAGGTGAAGGGGTGGAGAACTTGAAAGGTGATAGCTGTGTGGAATGTGAGTACTGGTGACGGGTGCTGACCGAGGCATCCTCTACCTGGAGACCGAGCTCGTGCCCCCTTGCTAGTTTGTAGCCTTTCATTTGCAGACTGCAGTTTCATCAACGATTTTCTGTAGCTGGATAGCGTTGTATAAGATACGATTTAAGTTTATAAACTAAAGTAGGTGGGAGCTCATTGCCTTGATTTTAAAAGGGGGTCGGGTGGGCGAAGGAATTCCAAAAGCAGGAGGAATCTGCCAACCGAAATACCGAGCGATGGAGCAGGTAGATCACTAAGCCCGAAGCGAAACCGGCGCGAGCTCAAGCCACGCCCCCGCTCGCCTTTCCACGCCCCCACCCTCCCGCGCCCCGACTCAATTCAGTCACTTATATTCGCCTCCGCACTTTCGCTGAGCTTTCCCCAGCCCTAGCAGCAACCGGGGGGGTGGGGGGGGGGGGAAGGCGGGGCTAAAACCCCAAAAAGGGGCCTTGGGGAGGAGCGAGCGACGTCGTTGCCAAGGCAACTCGAGAGCTAGGCCAGGGACTCACCAGAGGTGGCGTTGTGAATGGACATGTGGAAGCTGAGACTTTCCACTTGTCTCCGGCATTAGCCACCGCACTTTCGTGACTGAACAGGAACGAAGCAAATCTCATGTATACTTAATAGATCTCCACCTGCATTTTCAAGTTGATGGGATTACAAAGGGGGCAGAAATTACTTTTTTAAAACGAATCTGCCAAAAGACTACTAGTGACGGGGCTAAGTGAAGCAAGTGACTTGGACGGCCATGCCACAGAGCTGGAGCAAAATGGAGAGGTGAAGCTTCACTCTAATCCCTAATCCTCAGCCATTTTCTCAATGGCGCCGCGCAGAGTCCGACCTTTCCACAGGTGGGGTGGGGGAAGCGAATCTGCGGTGGTCACACCACCCAGGCCACCCAGGAGCGCATCCCTTGCTACGTACATCCCCTCCCACCCAATAAAGAAATTTAGTCCAGAACATCCAAGCCTGTTATCCAGGTCGCTCCAGCTGTTCCCTGAGGCTAGGAGCAGTCCAATCCCTGCACCTTTATCCAAGTTTCTCCCAGCTTTCTGATGTGCCCTTCTTCTTGGCCCAGCTCCATGGGATTCAGTCCTTGGACAGCTACCCTCCCACCCCCTAAATCTGGCTTCATCCCTGTTTGGGTACACTTATAAAAAAAGGGGGGGGGGGGCTAGCTGGTGTGGTTCAGTGGATAGAGCGTTTGGCCTGCAGACTGAAGAGTCCCGGTTCCATTCTGGTCAAGGGCACATGCCCAGTTGTGGCTCCACCCCCAGTAGGGGGCGTGCAGGAGGCAGCCGATAAATGATTTTCTTATCTTTGATGTTTCTCTCTCTCCCCTCCTTTCTGAAATCAATAAAAACATACTAAAAAAAAAAACAACAACAGGAGGCGGATTTTCCTGTAATAATTGTTCTTTGGCAGGAGGGTGGTATTGGGGAATTTCTTCAGGGTGACTGAACTTTGCAACTTCTATAATAAACAATTTCCCACTCTGCAATTTGCCTTCCTTTATTCCCACTGCCCCCTCCCCGGCCCCACCCACCTCCAGTCTTCGGGAACCGCCCCAAGACCCACATTTCTATCGAGTGTAAAGTTCTGTGAGGTAGAGCATTCCTTTCAATGCGATCTAGAACTTGTGGGGTTGCAGAATTTTACTGGAGACACTGGAGACCTGAAGAAGTCAGTTGCTTGGAGCTTGGCCCAAAACCCCAAGGGAATTCCGAACTCTATGAGGCCCAGAGATCTGGAACTGCTGGAAGCCTGGGAACCTGGCTGGGCCCACAATGTCTTTACAGCTTGAAGGTGTATGCAATAATGTCACTGCACCGGAGCAGTGCCTCCGCCTGCACGCCTATTGGCGTCTGCAGCTGCAGCACGTAGAAGTTGGCCACCTCCACGTCAGTGGCTCCAAAGTGGGCGGTCACGTGCACACCCTCATGCAGGGTGAAGCTGACCTGGCGACCCACCATGGCCAGCAGGCTGCGGAGGTAGCGTTCCCGGAGGAGGGCTCGGGCCCGCTGTTCCTGGGATTCCTGACATTCGTGAACTACAGGAGACTCCGGGGTTCCAGGAACCTCTGGCTTCAGGAGGGCCCTTCGTCCATCGGGGGCAAAGCCTCTGCTCAAGCCCTCGGGGCCCCGGGGCAGCCGGAGCACGGGCACAGGACTGGGCAGTGGCGTCTGCATTGTCCGGGCTGCTGGGTAAAGAAGAAGAACGGGAGTCATTACATAGGGAGGTGGGGTGACAGGAAGAGGGAGGACTGGAAGCAGAGGCTTTTCTGCCACATCTCAGCTCAGCCTGTCCAAAACCAACCTCCTGATTCCCCCTCCTAAAAGCTGCATCATCCAACAGTCCCCTATTCCCAGAACTGCCACCATTCACGAGGTTCACAGAGTGGGGACTTCTGCCTGATGTTATCACAGCTTTACACCCAGTTCCTGGCCATAAACATGTGCTGAAAGACCCGTCTCCTCTCCTCTCTCACACATGGCCCATCTAACCCACCAGGAAATGCTACCTTCCGAATAAATCCCATCCCGCAGACGCAGCCTGGAAGGGCTCCCACTGGACAAATCTGGAATGATTTGAACATTTAAATATGACAAGTGCAGATTATAACCATTGAATAAAACAGAAATCCCTGAGTCCATGCTAATTAAAAACAAAGGAGAAGGAAACTTCCTTCTTATCTTAGAACGGCAGCTCAAATCAATAGATGCTAAAACCTGTGGAGGAACATCAATGCGGTCCAGGGTATCTACAGTCTTAAAGTGCCTCCTCACAAGATATTCACTGTAAAGAGTAACTTTATGGTGGAGAAACCTGGTGGACACCAGCACTTAGGCATCAAAGCTAATACGTGCAGTAATGAGACAGACAGACACCAGGTACCTACTGATGTGATGTATTAAGAAGGACAGGACAGCCGTAACCATTTTGGCTCAGTGGGTAGAGCGTCGGCCTGAGGACTGAAAGGTCCCAGGTTCGATTCCGGTCAAGGGCATGTACCTTGGTTGCGGGCACATCCCCAGTAGTGGTTGTGCGGGAGGCAGCTGATGGATGTTTCCCTCTCATCCATGTTTCTAATTCTCTATCCCCTTCTCTTCCTCTCTGTAAAAAATCAATAAATTAAAAAAAAAAAGGACAGGACACAGGTGTGTGGATTACCTGAATCTAATCATAAGGGACAATTGTGTCTAATCAATCTAATCAACTTGAAGAGCATTATACCAAAAAATTAACCTGGGAGACAGATTTTTTTTTTAACAATTTTAATTTTTTTAAAAAAATTTTTTATTGATTATCGAGAGGAAGGGAGAGGGAGAGATAGAAACATCGATGAGAGAGAATCAATGACCGGCTGCCTCCTGCACTCCCCCTACGGCGGATGGAGCCTGCAACCAGGGCATGTGTCCTGACTGGGAATTGAACCATGACCTCCTGGTTCATAGGTCAAAGCTCAACCACTGAACCACACTGGCTGGGCCTGAGAGACAGATTTGAGCTCTGCCTCTTGTCTCCTTGCCATTCGACCTCACAGTTAAAGCTTTTTCTTAAAAAAATAAAAAATTAGCCTGGATTCTTCAAAAATATCAAGGTTGTCAAAGAAAAGCTGAGGGAAAGCCCTGGCCAGGGAGCTCAGTTGGTTAGAGCGTTCTCCTGATACGCCGCGGTTTCAGGTTCAATCCCTGGTCAGGGCACATACCAGGAGCAACCAATGAACGCATAAATACGTGGAATAACCAATGAATGCTCCTCTCTCTCTAAAATCAACAAGTAGCCCTAGCCAGTTTGGCTCAGTGGATAGAGTGTCAGCCAGCGGACTGAAGGGTCCCAGGTTCTATTCCAGCCGTGGGCAAACTACGGCCCGCGGGCCAGATCCGGCCCGTTTGAAATGAATAAAACTAAAAAAAAAAAAAGACCGTACCCTTTTATGTAATGATGTTTACTTTGAATTTGTATTAGTTCACACAAACACTCCATCCATGCTTTTGTTCCGGCCCTCCGATCCAGTTTAAGAACCCACTGTGGCCCTCGAGTCAAAAAGTTGGCCCACCCCTGTCTGATCAAGGGCACATGCCCAGTTTGTGGGCTCCATCCCCAGCAGGGGGCGTGCAGGAGGCAGCCGTTCAATGATTCTCTCTCATCACTGATGTTTCTCTCTCTCTCTCCCCCTCTCCCTTCCTCTCTGAAATCAATCAAAATATACTTAAAAATAAATTTTTTTGAAAAAGCTGAGGGGAAAAAAATTATATATACATATATATATATATATATCTATTCAAAGACTACCACTTCTTATTCTCTCAACTGTCAACATCTTGGTCCAACCACCATCGCTTCCACCACTTCCTGCCTGGACTGTTGAAGTCAACTCCTCACTGGCTCCCCCACACCTTTCCGCCTTCACACCCCTATCCCTGTCCTCACAGCCAGAGGGACCAGAGTCAAATAACATCTCCCCGCTATTCAGAGCTTCCGGTGGCTTAGTTCAACGCCAAGGTCCTCATCACTGCCCTCAAGGCCCCCATGTTCTGGACCCCCTCCTGGCACACCATCCAACCCCAGCCACTCTGGCCTCTTTGCTGGTCCTTGAATACGCCTGCAATCCCTTCTCAGGCCTGGGCATTGGGGTTCCCTCTGCTCTATCTCCTTTTCCCCTTCCCTGACCACCTGATCTTAAAGTTTTATCTGCCCCTCATCCCTCTATCAGCTTCATCATTCTCTGCAGCACAGACCCCTCCTAGACATCTTGTATATTTATTGTTCTGCTATGGTCCTTCCCTGCAATATGGCTCCGTCCCCATAGCCCTGCTTCCCCTCCTCCCCCGTGTCCTCAGCTCCTGGAACACTGACTGGCACAGGGACCAGGCTCTGGTCCCATGAAAGGAGTGGAGATGAAGCTCCCAGGCCTATTTAGCTGGGTGACCTCAAGCAAGAGGCACTTTGCTCTTCATTGTATGGAGAAATAGCACCAATTGCCACCTCTGTTTATCAGGATTCAACAGGCTTTGCAGGACCGGGCTGGATATACACCAGGTTCTCCATAAGAGTTACAGTTGTTATTCGTGTTGTTGTCTGACCCGGGGTGAACTGCTGAACACATTGTTTGCGGGTAGTTTTTATCTCGTGCTAACAGGTGGCGCGGGCCATTTTTGCTAATTTTTTGCGCAAATGGCAACGTTCAGTACAATTACGATAACTTTAGTTTACGTATTTATACGTTACCCGCATTCTACCGCTAGTCTATAAAAAACGTATTAATACGTGTCCTGCGCTCTACTACACTGGTAGAACGTATAAATACGTTTCCCGCATACAATGTGTTAACTGCTCTGTGCCTTGGTTTCCCCACCTGTAAAACAGGAACGATAAAAGGACCTACCTCCCACGGTTGTCATGGGGACTGAATGACCTAATGTACAATGTTTAGCATTCTCCTGCAACATCGCAAGCACCACTGCTATGACGTGGATTGCATATGGGGAGACGCTGGCTTTGGGGGTTGGAGGAGGAAGAGAGGGGCGCCTACATTTGGTTCAGGCAGCTGCTCCACTCTCTGTGGCTCAGTCCCCTCCTCCCTAAAGGTCTCATTAACTGGGGACCCACCACCATCACTTCCACCACTTCCTGCCTGGACTATTGACGTCAACTCCTCACTGGCTCCCCCACATCCTCCCGCCTTCACACCCCGACCCGTCCTCACACAGCTCTCCTGTGCATCAGGTCTGGCGCCTCCAGCATCGCCGCTATGGAGAAAGAGGTTCAACAGCTCAGGCTGGAGGCCTGGCTCAACCGAGTGAAGGTTTACCAGGCAGCTGCCGATTTGAAAAATTCTGTCTGCAGAATGCTCAACGTGACCCCCTGCTGATGGAAGTATCTTCAAGTACCAATCCCTTCAGATCCCAGAAAGTTTGTTCCTTTTTGTAGGGAAATGAATCTTTGAAGGTGTTCTAAACCACTTTTCATGAACCAATGAAGATTCAGAGAGCTGAATTTGAAGCCTGTACAAAAATCTTATCCCTGTAACATGTGCCATACTATTCAAACTTCTGCTTTTGTCAGTCCTTAGCATCTACTTCTATGAATGTTCATGAGTTTCTATTTCACAAGGATAATTACTTTATATACACTGGCAACAGCATACAAATAACATACTTAGTATAAAAAAATAAAGTGGCCCTAGCCAATTTGGCTCAGTGGATAGAGCATCAGCCTGCAGACTGAAGGGTCCCAGGATCGATTCCGGTCAAGGGCACATGCCTGGGTTGCGGGCTCAATCCCAGGAGGCAGCCAGTCAATGATTCTCTCTCATCATTGATGCTTTTCTCTCTCTCTCCCTCTTCCTTCCTCTCTGAAATCAATAAAAATATATTTTAAAAATAAAGTGATTGGCCTGGCCAGTGCGGCTCAGTGGTTGAGCGTGACCTATGAACTAGGAGGTCATGGTTCAATTCCCAGTCAGGGCACATGCCCAGGTTTCAGGCTTGATCCCCAGTGGAGGGCATGCAGGAGGAAGCTGGTCAGTGATTCTCATCATTGATGTTTCTATCTCTCTCTACCTCTCCCTTCCTCTCTGAAATCAATAAAATATATTTAAAAAAAAATAAACAAAAATAAACAAAAATAAAATGGTTAATTGAAGTCACTGACAAATATGAGGCACCCAGTGTCTGTCTTGGGGTCATTCATGGTCCAGAAGTGATCGAGATTGTCCTTTTTCTGTGAGGCTCTTCCTGTTTCTGCAGCTCAACTGTGAGCTCCTTGCAAGAAAGGACGAGAAATGGGTCCAGGCTGTGGACCAGGGTTTCTCAACCTCCCTGCTACTGACTTGGGCTGGATCATTCTTTGTTGTCTTGTGGGGGTGTCCTGTGCCTGGGTGTCGGGGTTTAGCAGCATCCTTGGCCTCTACCCACTAGGTGCCAGTAGCTCCCTGAGATGTGACAACCAAAACTCTCTCTATTAGGGAATAGCATGGTCTGAGAATTACATGTCAATTCAGTAAAGCCATTAAAATACACACACACACACCAACTGTCTCTAGGGGACAAAAAAAATCGTCTCTAGTTGAGAACCACTGACAATCAGGTGGGAAGAGGGGGAATAGAGACTGCTACTGAGTAAGTGACATATTCACACAGCCTCACTGAGAACCTGAGAGATGCAAATTCAAGCTACCAGGCTATAGGATTCCAC